AAATTAACACAGACTCCCCAACTGTTTTCAAGGAGGGCCTTGGTAAAACCCACTTTTAAAACAGTGTGTAGTTTCATCTGTATTACCAGAGAAATGAAGGAAAAAGGGGGTAGTAGCTTCCTGGGCACTTAGTGGTGCCTCGGTTGCAAAGCTGCAGTGTTGCCTCACGCCTCCATGTCCAGACAGCCGCAGTTGCCTCTGATACTAGCTGCTGGCCTCTATTGCAACAACGTCATCACTAAATTCCATGCGAGACAGGAGGAACACACGGGTCACTGGAGGTCCACTCACTAAGACAGTTGATTTTCATAGGTTCATAAAATGTGTTCACTCTTCTTTGGAATTTATAACATGGGAAGCATCTGTGCAAAAAGAACATGTTTTAAAGCTCTTTGAAAGTTTTTAATTGATCTTGTAGAAACATATCCAATGTTCTAACTGGTAAACCCTCTCTCAGTAATGGGATATGTATGATACAGTTTCCTAGTGGGGTGTAAGCAGTGATGGAGAACCTGTGAGAACTAGAGGGTTCTGTTACTACATTTTAACTTTAGTTTGTCTTTTTGTTTGTTTGGTTTTTTGGGGTTTTTGGTTTGTTTTTTTTAGTTGAGCCATCCTGCCACCTGTTGGCAGCTGAGCAGCAGCTCAGTTCAGGCTGGGAATCGAACTGCTGTTGCTCGGAGCTCAAACTCTTGAGTGAGCTCTTAACCAACTGAGCCATTCGGCTGACCCTTAACTTAGTTTTATGGGAAGTCATATTTGTAAAGAAAATATTTTCCCATTAGGGAAACGACTATATGTCGCCCTGCCCTCCTAGCGGTAAGAGGGCTCCCAATTCTGTCATTGTCACTGCTTTCCATCTGAACTGGGTCACCAAGAACAAACAACTATTTGGTGCCCTAAACAGAATAAAATAATCTCAATAAAGCTGAAAAATAAAAAGGAAGAAGAATGACATCTTTTCCCAGTTTGAGAGTCATCTTCCTAATTATAACTCAAACTTTTCATCAAGTTTAGGATTTATTATTAAAAGATATCCTGAGAATGGTACAAAGTCACAGTGTAAAGCGAATGATTATAATGGCGGAGTTAAAGGAATAGTTATAAAATAGACACCAATAGTAATAAATCCTGTGAAGAAAAAAATAAGCCAGGGAAACCAAACACAGAAGGATTTACTTAAAAAAGGGTGGTGGGGAGACCTCCCCGAGGAGGTGATGTTTAAGCAGAGACTGAAAGAGGTGAGGAAGAAAACCACATGAAGCCTGGGAAGGTGCATCTTTGAACAGGGAACAGCAGCACTGGAAACTCTGAGGAGGGAACGTACTGGGGAGGAGCCAGGAATAGCAAGAGGACACTCAGGGGCACTGGAGGGTGAGGGGAGGGACAGTCTGAGTCAAAGGCCAAGTGACGCACGGTTGGTGGCATCAGCTGTCACTACTTTCCAACAGGTCCTGGTGTATCTGTAACTAGTATGTGCTTGATGAAGAAAATACAAATTTTCAAAATTCTGTGCTGAAACACTGTATGTCTGCCTGCTGCTGAAAAGCCACACGCAACACTAACGTTCCTTCCCCAGCTTTAATTTGGCTCACCGACTCCTTCTTCTGCTAACTTGCAAAAGATGGTGTGAGTCGAAATATAAGCCAGGAAGCACAAGCAAGAAACCAAAAGTCACCAGAGGTCCCCCAAAGGACGCCGGCTGCACATGCCACGAGGACTAGCATGAATCTCCTTACAAAATTAATATGCTCTTGTTTTTTACATTCGTTTCTTCAGTGTAATTGACATACTCATTCCGTTAAAGAAAACTGGAGGAAATCCAGCGATATATAAAAGGTCCCATTTTGCTCAGTACTCGGAGCTTAATTTTTTTTTAATTAGACCTCTTTTGCCTTCAACTAGATCTTCTAATGTCTGTAAGAGTTTTCTGGCTTTGAAGAATGAAGCCTCGAAAAACTAAGGTAGTGGGGTAGCATATAGATTCAGATTTAAAATAATAATTTTGGAAACAGTCACATTTTCATGTTAACTTATATTCATAATGCAATTCTCGAATAATTTAAATTGAACATGTTCCCTTTGAATACTTTCATAATCACTTTCAAATTTGCTGCAAAACTGTTTTGTTTACTGAAGAATAAGCGGAATTATTTTCTCCTGCAGGAATGGCTACTTCATCGCCATATAAATATGGATTGACACACACAGCAGTATATATATTTGCCCAAAAAATGTAAGCAATCTAAATGTGCAATAGCAGGGTGCAATGGTTAAATAAATTATAGTATGCCCATTTGATGCAATATTCTGCATCCATTTAAAAAATGGTTTTGGAAGATTAATGTGACAGGAGAAAGTTCATGGTATATAAATGAAAAAGGCTAAATTCAAAATGCTGTATTTTTTAGTCATAATTGGTACATTTCTAATTTTTGCTTTATGGCTCTAATTTCACTTAACTATATATCTACATATATACACAGGTATATGTAATTATTGAGACAAATGGGAAGGAATTCCATCATAATATTAACTTATCCTGAGAGGTAGATTTTTAGTGATTTCAATTTTTTTAATGAGAAAAAATGTGTTATTTTAAAAATAATCCCTGATGCATGGAATTGTAAATTACCCTGCTAAATATATACAATATTTTGGAACACTTAAAAATAAAAGTACCAGAGTGGTGAACACCCAGTGCAATACACAGGTGATGTATTACAGAATTGTACACTTGAAGCCTATATAATTTTACTAACTAATGTCACCTGATACATTTCATAAAGATAAAAAAGAACAGTTCTGTTTTTCAGCAGCCTGCCCATTTTGACAGTGGGCATCTGTGTCCTTAGGGCCCCTGGACTGGAGGACACCGGAACTGTGCCTCTGTGGGTGGCTGTATGTCTGCCCTCCTCCAAGTGGGGTACTCGGCACATCACACAGCATTTGCCGGCCCAGAATACACGTGGTTCTGACTTCGGTATTGGAACACTGAATTAGCTTATTACACGTATGATTAGATTTTAGATAGTATCACACCATCGTAGACATGTTGCACAGAGAATAAAGCAAAGCATTTTACACCACTTCTATGATATTTTGTCAATAGTAATAATAGACTATTTCAGTTTAAAATGGAATCATGGTGAATAAAATCACTCTAGTAATGAAGAGTACAGTGGAAAGGATATAATCTAAGAATATCGCTGGGTGACCAAGCTTCTTGAGCAGAGGCGTATTTTGAAAAGATGGAGATGATGGATGGATATATCACATTGTTCTCATAGATACCCCCAAATTCTGGCTCATAAAAACAACATGAAAGACGAGAACTATTACTGCATACCTTAAGTACTTAAAATAGCATCTAGAAGCACCTTTCCCTCATCACCACAGAGGCGGGATATTAGTACCTGCCATGCATTTCAGCCAGCTGCTATGTGCTTAGTGTTTGTTTCTAGAATATCAAAGAAATGTGAAACAGTCAACTCACACGTGCAAAATCAGGACTAATTCATAATTGAATCAGTGCATTTGACTTGATTGAGAGGTTAGTTCCCAGGCACTCTATTTAGCTTTGAAGGCCTAAAAACCAGACAGGTGTGTTTGGTTTTTACCTACCACATACTGTAAGTGCAAATTTTAAAAAGCAATCAAGGGTCACAAAGTGAAGTTTAGTTTGGGGATTCTATTTTCAGAGACAAAAAGAAAAAGAAAACTCCAACCTGCCCCATTTTAAGATTAAAGCAGTGAATACACAAGAAATACTTTTCAAATGGATTTGAATCCATATTTCAACCACTAAAAGGAGCAGGAGAATGGAATGAAGGGAGTAAAATGGACAAAGGAGAAGGATAAGAACTAAGGGAAGGAAGAGCCAGCTGGAATGCTCACCTGGTAGGAAGAGAGAAAGAGGGAGAAGGGGAGGAGATGGAAGAGAAATAAAAGGAAGAGAAAAAACAAAAGAAGTAACCGAGACCTACATTGCTGATAATTACAATATCAACACCTGACATTCTAGGCTACTCCTGTGGAAGCCCCCCAGCACTCTTGCATGCGCAAATGTCACCTCTTTCATCATCCTTGTCACAGTTCTGTGAGCAAGATCATTGCTTCCACTCTAACAAGTGAGGGGGAAGTTCAGCAGGGCTATGAATTGTCTGGCATCAGGAACGATAACAACAACCACATCAGTAGTCGGCACAGGAGCAGTGATAGCAGAGGCATGACTATAACAATCGCTGGGCACATGCTATGCGGCAGTCACCAGGCCAAAAGCATCCAAGAGTCGCCTCATTAACTCCTTGTAACAGCACTTTCAGGAAAGGGTGATCATCCCTACTTTACAGATGATGAGTCTGAGGTTTGCAAAGTTCAATCATGAGCCCAAAGTTGAACAGGGCTGTCCCCCAAGCCTGCCCTGTAGAGACTGCACTGGAAGTCCCCATTCTGGCGTTCAAACTCATCCCTTCCCTACTGACTCTCGTCCCGTAAGGGCAGAAACAGAAAGGTACACCACACAGGTGGGTGCTGCCCACCTGTGACATGGCAAGACTTAAAAATTGAGAAGTATTGAGTTTTAAAGACCAAAGACATCTGAGAAACTATCTGTTTCTCTGTTTCTTGCAATCTCACGTAGAGAAAGCCTCCTTCTTTTGACAGTTGGTGATCTATGTCCTGAGGGTCAAAGAAGAGAGCAGTACTTCATGCACTGGACCCTAGTTTCTCTGATACCTGTAGAATAAACTTTTCATTTGGCTTCCTTTTTCTAGCTGACACTTTTTGCTGATTTATTACAAGCTAACTATCTGCACACGCTTTACGTAATCTCAAAAGCATCTCTCTACTTTCAAAGCGGTAAAGAAACTACTTTCCATCATTGAATTCTCTGATGTATAAAAGAGTAGGTTTATCCTTTGAATGAAAAAGGAAGATATCTGCTAAAGCTTCTCAATGCCATTCTCTACCTGAAACACTTCTAAAATTATGTATTTCAGGCCCTGCTTGATACTCAGAATCTTTTGCGTGCACAAATCACAAATTTTACGTTCAACCTGGGATTTTCAGGGAAATTTTACCACACAGGTAAGAAAAAGGGGATTAACTGTTCTGGTAAAGGCCTCTCTGACCACGGTATCGAAAATTGTATACGTTTCCTGTTCACACCTCCCTACATCCCCTCGACTGCTCCCTTACTTTATTTCCCTCCTATCATTCAGTTCCATTTAGCATATTATTTTTAACCAAGTTTATTCACCATGGTGTTATCTAATGACTGCCTTTTCCTCTTAAGCTATAATTTACATGTATGGAAGTGCATAAGTAGTAAACGTCATGCTCAATGAAATGTCACCAGGTATGCACGATGTGCACCCCACGCAGAGGATGCCCATACAGTCGCTAGCTTCGCTCAGAGAAACCACAACCCTGACTTCTGGCATCATTAATTCGTTTGCCAGGCTTTGAGATGTATGCAAAACAAATCAGATAGTACAGACTTTGCTCAGTCCAGCTTGTTTTGTTCAGCATTACTTTGGTTTCACAGATATTACTGTGGATAGTTGTAATTCTTTTATTTTCATTGCTTTGTAGTAGTCCATTGTTTGAATGTACTAAAATGTCTTTATTTCATTTCTCTGGGTTGTTTTCAGTCTTTGGCTATTTTTGAACAGTCATGTTAAGAACATTTTTGCACCTGTCCTTCAGAGGACATTAAGTATTCTTTTCTGTTGGTTATCAACCAGGAGAATTGCTCATTATATGGCATACTTATGACCAGCTGAAGTAGAAAAAGCCAAATATTGGGTTGTCTGAAAAGTCGTGACGTATTTTTTCTGTTTTTCGTTGCAAAAATGCGTTATGACTTTTCCAACAAACCAGTAGTTTTTCGAAGTGACTGTAGCAGTTTCCATTCCCAGAGTATATGAGGTTTCCTGCCGCCCCACACTCTCACCAGTGTTTGCTGTCAGTTGCCTTTTTGTGTCGGTCTTTATGGTGGGCATGGAGAAGACCACATCGCGGTTGTAATGTGCTTTCTCTGATGTGCAGTGCAATGGAGCTTCCCTCGTTGTCTATTAGGCTTTGGGTATCCTCTTTTGTGAAATAATTGTTTTGTTTTGCTTTGTTTTGTTGCTGTTAGGTTATCTGCTTTTACTGGTGATTTGTAGAAATTCTTTATGTAGTCTTAATGACTCCTTTGTCAATTATATGCATTGCAAATACTTTGTCCTATTGTGTAGGCTGACTTTTCTCCCTCCTAATGGTGTTTCTTAATGAACAAAGTATACTAAATTTTAATGTAGTCAAATTTATCTTTATTTTCCTTTTGGTCAACTTTTTGTATCTTTTTAAAGACATCTTTGCATACCACAAGATCATCAAAATACGTCCCTGCATTCCTAAAGTTGATAAATCTGTGAAACAGCTGGAATTGACTTTTGTGTATATGTGAGGTAGGGTCAAGATACCTTCTTTTTTCCAAAAAGACAGCTAGGTGGCTCCAGGTATTGAAAAGAATCATCCTTGCCCACTGCACGGCAGTGTCATCATTGTCATAAACTAAATAACCATATATGTGTGGACTCTTTCTGGAATCTCCTGCTCATCAAATCTATTCATTGGAGCTATTTGTCTGCATCACACTGTCTTATGTACTGTAACTTTATGATTAATATTAATATCTGCTAGTATAAGTCCTCCAAGTTTGTTCATCTTGTTCAAGATTGCCTTGGCAATTCTTGTCCCTTTGCATTTTCATGTAAATTTTGGAATCTGCTTACCAATAGCTACATAGAAACTGGCTAAAATTTTTATTGAGATTGCATTAAATTTATAAATTTATTTGGGGAGAACTGCCATCTTAAGTATTGAGCCTTCCAATCCTTTAGCATATTTAGGTCTTTAATTATACTTGATAAGACTTTATTTAAATGTATTCCTGGGTGGGTTTTGTTGTTGTTGCAATAGCAAATGGCATCTTGTTTTTATTTTATTTTCCATTTCTTTGTTGATGGTCTATAAAATATATTTGATTTTGTGCATTGATCTTGTGTTACATCCAGCAACCTTGCTACATTGACTTACTAATTCTACAGTTTATCTGTAGATTTTTTGAATTTTCTACTTATACAATAATGTAATTTTTGAATAGTGAAAATATTTCTTCCTTTATGAGCCTAATAGATTTTGTTTCTTTTCCTTGCCTATCACACTAGCTTGGGTCTCCAGTACAATATTAAATAAAAGTGGTAATGGCGACACTTACATCTTATTCCTGATCTAAGGTATAAATCTTTCAATAGATTTGTTCCTGGTCTTTGTTCTTGAGAGAAATTCTTTTAATAGGCTGTTCTATAGATACTCTTTATTAGCTTAAGGAAGCTTCCTTCTATTCCTAGATTGCTGAGAGTTTTATGATGAGTGGGTGTTTAATGCACTTGGTTTTTAAATTACTTATCTGTTGTCTCTCCTCTCTCACTGAAATGAGCATTCCATGAAGGCTTTACACCAGCATGAAGGTTGTAACACCAGCAACTAGAACAGTGCCTATTGAAACAATGAATTAATGAACCAATGATTGAGTGGAAATAAAATCACCTTTATTTTAACTGTTAATATGGAACAAGGTCAGGGAATAAAATTTGACCACTGTTGTGTTGTGAAAGGAGATCACTTTAAATATTAAGAATAAGTATAAAGTTTCTTTCCCAAACATAGTAGAAATGCGAGCAAACACTCCCGGCAACTCCATGTTTTGCCAGGTACCAACCAAATGCTAACGAGTGACTCCAGCCAGCTGCTCTCCTTCCTTTTTGTCTAGGAAAGATTTGTCCTCTTGCCTTGGACACTTCCCATAGCTCAGAGTAAGAATGTCCTGTCTCTAAGTGAGGAAAGGAGATCCCTGGAGGAAGCAAAGGTCAAGGCTCGAAGGGGTTTGTCATCTGCATATGCTGTGAAAGCTTCCACAAAAATGTAGCCAGGGTTGTCTAAAACCAGTCAAATCATTTTTCAGTGGGAACAGATTTAATATTCTGAATCTCTCAAAAATTTGATATTGTAGAGCTTAATTAAATTGTATTGTCTTTCTTTCTAAATGAGTAATTCCTTTTTCTATTAAAAATTCTATTTTATTCAGTCTGGAAGGGAAGGAAGAAAACAGCACTGGGATAAGAGTAAGACTTCATTTCAGGAGAGTGTTTCATCTTGTTTGACTTATTTTAATTTTTGAAGGGTTTGTGCATTTTGTGAGAAATAAAGAGGTGAAGTTAATTAAAATCCTAGCAAGCAACCCCATATGCTAGGTACTTAACTTAGCTAAGCACTTTTCATGTGCATTTTCATTGATCCTGGGAGTTAAAGAACATGTGATCTTGATTTCTAAATAAGAACACAGGAACTTAGGGGGGGACCAAGGCCACAAAGCTAGTTATGTATAAAACAAAAATAGTCTTAACTTTACTTCTGAGCCCAAGTCTCATGCAGTAGAAAAATTGGATATTTATTGTATTGTAAACAATCCTTGATTACAGTAGCTGAATGGCAAAAGATGCCTTCCCCTTATCTACAGGTGGTTTAGGCTCATGTATTACCCCAAATCACTGGGAACCAACAGTATTTATAAATTCTAACTGTACCATAGAATTAATTCACAATGTGAAGAACAATGTTATTGGGTTGTCAGAAAAGTCATGATGCATGTTTGCAACAGATGACACTACTTCATTTTTGGAAGTACTAGAGTCATTCACATCTATGTTATTGCTATGTCATTTGACAGCTGACAGCTCTAGCTTAATCCAAAAAAAAAAATGAGCAAATTGGTTGAGTTTTGGAGATTTTACAGTAAGTTGAAGATGGAAGATCGAACTTTGCATTTTTGCCATATTTTACTGTTTTACTTCCATAAAGGAAAGAACGTGCATCAAGCTTGTGAAAAGCTGTGTAAAGTTTATGGTGACAATGCTCTACAAGAACATTAGTGCCAACAATGGTTCACGAAATTCCGTGCTGTTGATTTTGATCTCAATGACACTCTTCGGTCAGGGAGGCCCACCAAGGTTGATGATCACAAAATAAAGGCATTGATAGAGTGAAACCCACGTTACACTACATGAGAAATTGCAGAAATACTCAACGTCCATCGTTCAAGCATTCACGACCACCTGAAGAAGCTGGGATACGTATGCAAGCTCGATATTTGGGTTCCCCATGAACTCAAATAAGTTCATTTGACAGTGCGTATAAACATCTGCAATATGCTCATTAAATGTGCAGAAAATGATCATTTTTGAAGTGACTGATAACCGGTGATGAGAAGTGGATTGTTGACAACAATGTGGTGCACAAATGGTCTTGGTCCCGACGTGATGATTCGCCTCAAACAACATCGAAAGCAGACATTCATCAGAGGAAGGTTATGCTCTCAGTGTGGTGGGATTTTAAAGGTGTCGTGATTTTCGAGTGCCTACCAAGGAACCAAACAATCAATTCGAATGTGTACTGTCAGCAATTGGATGGTTTGAACGAATCCATCATCCAGAAATGTCCAGAGCTTGTTTATTGTAAAGGAGTTGTGTTCCATCGCAACAACGTGAGACCACACACAAGTTTGATCACCCATCAAAAATTATTGGAGCTTGGATGGGATGTGTTGCCACACCCACCATACTCGCCTGATCTTGTGCCATCAGACTTCCACTTGTTTCGCTCTCTTCAAAACTCCTTGTGTGGTATAACGTTCAATTCAGATGAGGCTGTAAATCAGCACCTTGTTCATTTTTTCACAAATAAAGACAGGTCCTTCTATGAATGAGGGATTATGAAGCTCAGTAAAAGATGGCAAAGGTTATCGAACAAAGCGGGCAATATATCATTGATTGATCTTTGTTCTTTATATAAATAAATGACCTTTGAAAAACATAGACAAAATACATCATGACTTTTCCAATGACCCAATATATTGAATTTGTACATGCTGATCTTATTCCTGAACTCCACATTTGATCAGTGAAAGATAGTTAAGGAACCTGGAGTGGCTTAATCTGGGTTAGAATTCGGGCTCTGAGCTCAGATTCTGCATTCTCAGTGACTTGGGACAAATTCACCTCTCCAAATATCAGCATCCTGGTCTGTAAGATGCAGTTAGTAGTGGCCCTTACCTCATAGGGTTGTAGTGAGAATTATAATACATGAGATGATGCTTGTAAAACACTTAATGCAGTGCTTGACAAAAGGACAAAGTCTCAATTAATTACCATTTTTCATATATCAGAGCAGGAAATATTGAGATAAAATACCAAAGAGACGATTTACATAGAAACCTAAATAATAATTTGCAATAACTTTATGATATTTCAGCATATTGTTATAACAGCATAAGAAATGGCACATTCAAGGTCACTTCTGTCTTCCTCCATGTCTGACGAAGGTGGACAGAGTGGGAAGAGAAAGGGGTGGTGACAGGCTAGGGCAATACAGCCATGGGCAGTTGCGTTGCAACTGCCTTCTATCATAACGTTTAAAGTGATAAGCAATAGACACATTTTCTCAATATAATTCACTCTAATGTAAGACATCCCCAAAGTAGGACGAAAAGAAATCTGACAAGAGTTATTATAAAGGAAAAAGGAAAGGCATACAACTATGCCAGCCATGAATTTACATAAATCTGTCAGAGGGAAGACACGTCTAACTCCCGCATGATTCAGACGTATGAATATTTTCATAGCAGATTTCTCCATGATATTCAGGAAAGGACAACAAATGCCTGAGCCATCTTTCCAAAGAACTCTGAGATCTGTTGCACTGTCCTGATAAATCAACTTTGGGTAAAGGCCAAGTAGAAAAACAGATGCAAAGATGAGAAGAAAGATGCAGGGACAGACAGGAGTTACAGGGCACGGATCTAGGAATGACAAGCAGTAGGAGGGGTGATTTTCCATAAACTAGGAAATCTCAGCTCACTCTCCCCAGGGGAGGTGTGAGTCAGAAATGAGTTGATTTCCGGGAACCCCAGGAGACTTGGGCCTGTTCTCAAGATGGGCAAGGGAAACTGCACCAAGGAGCTAACAGTAACTTACCTGATGTGGTATCCTGAGGACACGTAGGATGTTAATTAAGCAGAAGGAAGTATCTTGGATAAAGAGGTTTATAGAGATGCTTACAGAGATGCTTAATTGAAGGGAAACCAAATGACATCATCCTTATGTCAAAAAACGAACACAAGAAAGCACTTCGGTGTCATCAGTTAGACAAAAAGCATGAACTGAAGTATCACCAGAGCCACTTGAGTCACCACCTAAGAGGTACCTGGCCCCGAGACCCTGCCGGGATGGGGGTCACCGGAGAGTCTCAAGCCCTGACTCCATCGTCCGGCTCCTTTGCATTCCTCCCTAGAAGCCTCCCTTAGCCATAAGATAATCACTCCAGAGCCCCAAGAACGCTTGATGTTGGTGACCCACTAATCAGGCCAATGAGTTAATATAATGGCTTGGTCACTTTTTAAATAAAACGTTCCCTCTGCCGCATAACACTCACCATGCAGTATTACAGTGGAGAAAAATAAAACCTCAAGGAGATATGTAAGAGTGCAGGAGAACAGGAGTAGGAAACATAGGAGGAAAGGAAATGGGCATTAGATTCCCAACATGTGTCAGGACGATGCCGACACCCCTCCCCTAAAGAATAATGTAGGTACCGATGTTCATATTTTTGCCCACATGAGTGCCAACATGAAAGGGGTTATGTGACTTGCCCATAATCACCCAACTCAAATGTGTAGAAACCTACAAATCAATCAAATCAGCCTTCTGACTCCATGGGCTATACTTCTTCACCTGTACCATAGAAACACGAGGGTATGATAAAGAGGAAAACCAGGGAAATAAAGCAGATTGCATTTAAAGACGCCCTTCATAAGGAAAGAAACAAGCTCCTCCGCCTCACAGAGTGCTCAAGCACATGAGAGGGAATGCGAAGGCTGCTTATTGGAGGATTATGTTACGCCACTTGTTCTATGTCACTGCTCCCCTGCGTAAACTCATTCCACACCTTCATCTCCGAACTCTCTTTCACTGCAACGGTAAGTCACAGGGTCAGATTCGCTTCCTGCCAGTGGGCTCTCCTTCCTACTCTGGAAAAATCAAGGGGGAGGTGGCTGGTAACAAGCACTGGCCCTGGGCAGCAGCGCATCCCCCGTTTTTGCCTGTAGGGCCCTTATAATAAAACCAGTCACGTCATAGCTGCTGTTGCCGACATGGGAGGACATTTTCCCCACACAGAGGGGACAGCGTTCGAAGAATCTTCTGTTCTGGGAGCCCACTGGATTCAGTGTTGTGGTTGAAATGTCACTGTGGCTGTGCAATTTTATGGCGATAATTATCACCTTATGACATGCCAGGACAGTGGTGGGCACCATACATTGCTCTCACGTCGTGCTCCAGTGAAGACACTGTGCCTGGGGACATTCAAAACCAGACTCCTACCCCCTCAAGGAAGCTGAGAGCACTGTGGGATTTCCCACTCAACTAACCTGTGTTGGGGAAGTGAGGGGCATAAAACAAGCCCGGATGTGAAAAATCAGAGCAGCGCAGCAGGTCTGACACTCAAGGAAATAGCAGCTTCCTGACAGAAAGTCTGTGTCCAAGAACTCAAGGGGGAGGACGAACCAGCATGAGGGACAGGGGTGCCACCAAGCTGCGGCTGGGGTTCTGCACTGTGACGTCACAGCTCCTCAGCTTCTTTCCATCATGTTCGTCCTTTCTCCTTTTTTTCCTTCGGGTCTGTCTCATTTTCCCAGTAACAATTCCTACATTTCCTTCCGTCTCCTTTTTATGCCTTAGTTCTCACTGTTACTAAGTAGGTTCTCCTCAGACTTAAGGAGTAGCCCGAATAAATTATGGAATTCCTTTTTTTTTTTCAGAGCAACCCCTTTGTTTTAAATAAAAGTTTATTGGGGTGACAATTGCTAATAAAGTTCCATAGGTTTCAGGTGTACAGTTCTGTAATACATCATCTATATATCACATTGTGTGTTCACCAGCCAGAGTCAGTTCTCCTTCCATCACCATATATCTGACCCCCTTTACCCTCATCTACCCCACCACCTCTCCCCTTACCCTCTGAACAACTAAACTGTTGTCTGTGTCTATGAGTTTTTGTTTCTTTGGTTGTCTTGTTCCTTTGTTGCTTTCAATTTTATACCCCACATATCAGTGAAATCAAATGGTTTTCAACTTTTTCTGTCTGACTTATTTTGTTTGGCAGAATCATCTCAAGATCCATCCATGTTGTTGCAAATGGCAGTATTTCACCTTTTCTTATGGCAGAATAGTGTTCCATTGTGTATATGTACCACATCTTCTTTATCCAATCATCTATCGAAGGACACTTTGGTTGTGTTGTGACTGTTGTGTCACATGGCATGTGACATGTTCTGCTGGGGCTCCACCACACACTTCCAGACTCATGTCCCTTGGCTATATTTCATTGTCACCCCCCACTCTTTCCAAATGACACATTAAACAAAGATGCTAAAAATCAAGAGTTCTAATGTCTTTGGAAATGGTTCTGTATTTCCATCATGCAGTGATTTTAATTCATGTCTCATGTTTAAAAATGTTTAAAAGACTTTTGTCACGGGTTTTTCTTTGGTACATTCATGTGGAAAGTCTCACAGGTACCTAAGATCCTATAAACGGGTTTTCTGAATACATGCATGTGTGTAAGAGTCCATGAGTGGCTAGGCAGAGAGAGGATAGGTAGGTGATAGGCAGACAGACAGAGAGTCAGCATGACTGGAATTGATTGAATGGTCTCCCCCCAGGCACGGAGGACGAGGACGCGGGCGACGACCTCCTGCTGCGCTCGGCGGCCGAGTTCTGGTGGTTCCCGCACATGTGGAGCCACATGCAGCCCCACCTCTTCCACAACGAGTCAGCCCTGATGGAGCAGATGGCTCTCAACAAAAAGTTTGCCCTAGTAAGTGACTCAGTTTGCATGTCATATTGAACTAGTGCCCACTGACACAGAAAACACGCTTTTCACACTGAGAGCCCCTCGGGGGCACCTGGCTCTTTGTAAGCGGGCGTTTCTGTGTGATGGTTAGAATAGCCACCATTGCAGCCCCCTGACTGTGACATCTGAGTTTGTACTGGGTGCCCATCCCATGCTTGACGCTGAGAGGTCAGATTTCAGAGGATCCACACAAGACACTCATGAGACCGAGTTCCACGACATTATGGTCAGAGCTCAGAAAATGTGGCCCCTGTCCCCAAGGAGCTTCCTGCTTCCGACACATGAACAATTCCCCAGCAAACCTAATGCCAAACTGTACAGACAGAAAGCCCACAGTTCAGAGAAGTAAATGCCATTGGGAGCGGCCAGGAAAATGTCCCGTGGAAATAGAATTTTAGGGACTCTGAAATGAGAGTAAGGTTTAGGTGTCAGGAGGAACTGGAATGAGACGAGGCCGAGGCACAGGAGCAGGCAGGGGCCACAGTGTAGGTGTAAGATAATGAGGAGTCCTCCAGGGGCAACGGGAATGGAAGAAAACCATCTCTAAGGCACTGCAAACATGTTACAGGGACGGGACATTAGCTTGATGGGAGCAAAATACAAGGCTTTCTGCTGAAGAGTTTCTGATTCGGACACAGAAATTTACAGTAAAGGTTCTGATAAGGTTCTGGGAAAATGCGCTGTGACTCGCGGAGATGGCATATCATGAGTGACAAGCTGATGGGGTGTGTGCTGGGGGGAGGGGGCATGTCGTCTGTGTTCCTATGGGTGATTCTAATGGGCACATGCGTGGATGGAGTGCAGGCTGGCATTCTCCCTCCTCAGCAGGGAGCACCTCGGGTGAGAGCTGTGTCCTGTGCATCAGCGTCTCAGTCCCCAGGCCACAGAGGAGCTCAGTAAGGCTTACAGTGTAGATTATCAGGGCAGCAGAAGTCACCACTTAAGAGGCAATTTACATGGAATATGCTTTTATTCCAGCATTCTTTTCTTATTCGTGATCCCCAAAACTGATCTTACAATGTTTATAGATTATTCATATTGTTCCTAAATCCAAAACCATCAAATCCTATTTCTAGGCAAATCCTTCTAACTGTAGACTTAGCCCAGTGTGCAAAATGAATTAAAATACATGACACTAGTTAACGTTGATATGATTTTGAAAACCTCTAAAATATATAAAACAGATGATGTTTTATAGAGATTTGAAGTTCTGACCCCATAGCTAGAAATGCCTGACTTGAAGTAGAGCTGGGTCGGTTTTGAGGTTTCCCTACACATATATTCCTTTCCAACACTACAGTTCCTACGCCTGGGGGTGTACTCTTCCCTAACACGCCCACCCTTACCACAGTTTCACTCTGATGACATGGAGGCATCGTGGTTGTAAGTCTGTGGGAAGGAGAGTGAGGCTCCACCTCCCTCGGCTGACCAGGCACCTGCCTAGGTAGCTCTGGGCATCAGCTCACCAGGATTCAAGAAAGGACTGGTGCCCACTTGTCATGGAATGGAGTCTGCATAACCTGTTAAAGCCAAGGTGTTTGGGGAGCTGACCCACACGATACCTCACTCAAACTCATACCAGAAAAGGTTAGACTTTATAAAATGTTCTGCCTTTCTTCTTGAGGCTACAGAAGAACAAATACTTTATGGGCAGCATCAGAGCCCTTATTTGTCTTTGAACTTCCGTCTCCTTGCCCAGATAGATACACAATTTCAGGAGTACCTTTGTCTGCACTGATATTTGGTCAAGGAAGCGGGAACAGTGCCCTCCATGCTGATATGGTGAAAATGTTTTGACAGTATTTGCAAACTCCTGTGAGACAAATAGCCACCATTTCTCCCCGAGAATGTAAACAGGAATAATAAACAGCACGGAAAAGTGGGTAAACATCACCATGGTGTGTAACAGCCATAAAGCCACGAGAGCCGCAGAAGTCCCCTCAATGCAGTGTCACCTTCAGAAGTCTATGCTGATATTAGCCACGTGAATCTGCAAGAGAGGATGTGGGGAGAAAAGCTCTGTGTAGCTTCTTCTCAATCTGCGCAGGAACAGAGAAGGGGATTTATGAAAGAAGGAAATACGCAGAGTAAAGCAGGTACCAGTAACAGACAGACTGAGAAGTCAGGAGGGAGGTTTTGTGTTTATTTATGGCTGCTTGGGTGACCTTCAAAAAAATAGCTCATCAAGGCAGATAGAGGAAAGACACAGCCCTGACTGTTACACGCCCCTGAAAACAGAACATTATGTAGAATAGCAGTATTCCCTCATGGCTTCCATGAATGAATCAATAGATGGCCAATATCATGTTTATACTTAAAGCAAGTGTAAGTACTCAAAAGTACACATAGTAAGAACAGGCATGCTCAGGAGATTTTTTTACCTATTTTTCAAGAATTCTCAACTAAAACATATCATGACTTGAAAGTATCATCACAATTGAAATTTGGTCCTTCTTAACCTCCTAACTCAAATGTCACACAGAGGACATTTCTTAGAAGTGTCATCCTTAACTACAGGGTGACAACCCAGATTATGGTCCTTGTGGCAGTGGAGAAAGGTCATCAAGGATCTCAGAACTCAGACCGAATGTATTGGGTTGTCGGGAAAGTCCTGACACATTTTTGCAACGAAAAACATAGAAAAAATACGTCATGACTTTTCCGACAACCCAGTATCTTTAATGCCTAGGCAGTGAGGGGACTGGCTGACTTTTGTGTCAGGAGAGGACAGGCTGGGAAAAGCCTAAACCCAGGGCAGTCCCTCCCCAGCCACAACAATGAAAGAGAACACAGCATTTGGGAGCAATGGGCAGCACACAGCAGTCAGCACATAGCAGCTCTTGTTTGTATTGTCATTATATTCAGTATCATAAAATCGCCACCTTTACTTTTTGCCTAGGCTCCTGAGGTGTTTAGAGTGGCAGGTAAGAGGACAAAAGTCCTCAATTTTAACAGCTTGCTTTGTATTGGGACGACATTTAGTTAACGTGAATTCCACACATTTTCTAAGTATGTGTTCATTCTTTTACTTCCCATTAAGGCATCAGGGTTACAAAGCTGCTTTGCTGCCAAATTTAAAAATGTGATGAGAAAAGAGCCAGGGTTTAGTTTTGTATATATATTCCGTATTATTTCCTTTAATTCTCCCAACAACCCTGAGTTTAGGTATAGTTATTCTCACACTTTAGAGAGGAAACTTGGAAATCAGAGAAACACAGCAACATGCTCATGACTATAAAGCTCCCTAAGGGTGGAATGAAGGGCAGAAACACGTCTCCTCACACCGCGCACAGCGTGGCCCCGGCCTTCTTCAGTGGGCCCAGCCCCGTCCACCGGTGTGGGTACAGACTTCTCTTCTACCTGGTAACCGGGTAAACCTGCTAACACGAGGGAATTGAGAGCCAGAGGTGAACTCGGACCGCAGCTGTCCCCTGAGGTTCCCGAAGGTTCCCAAGATGGGCAGAGCTTCTAAAATGCTGGGAAAGGAGACGAACCAGAATCGGAGGAACTCTCCATGTGACTGGATAACACTCGTCACGTATAGACACAGACGCTACTGTAATTCAACAGAAACTATGCTGGAGGGAATTCCGCCCCAACTACCAACTCACTGCATGATACATGTGAGTGACTTTTGCACAGTTATTCTGTGCTCACGGTGCGTTTCTCAACTGGGTCACAGCCCGCTCTTCTCCACCAGCGTGCAGGCTCAGAATTAGCAAACGACCCTGAGTGTTTCCCAGCGAACGAGCTGAAAGAGCATAAGGAAGCAGGGGGCCACGTGTCAGCAGGGGCGTTTGAACAGGCCCAGCGGCCACGGAGAGGACTCCGTGTTGGACGTGTGACTGAGTCCGAGGGTGTTTCCAGCTAGGAGAACCTGAGACGAGGATGTAAAACTCCAGCACCGTTTACAGCCAAACACTGGCTATTTTCACCAAGTTTAGCACACACATCCGATCCGCTATCCTTTTGCACAATGTGGGCTCTTCTGTTTCACAGGGGAGTTTGACGTCCATTTCCATTTAGCTTTGAAAGCTCCATCTAATTGCTTATCATGGACGGACAAGCAAATCCTTTAAGCAAACTTGCACTTGGTTATTACAGCCACCAGAAGTGCAGCTTTAGCGGTAGATTAGAAAATATTTTTAGTTACCTAATAGGGGCTAATTCAGGCATTAAAGTGAAACTTCAACAGGGGGTTTTTGGAACGGTACCATTTTGGAGGCAACAATCAACTGTAACATTAATTTTTACTTACAACAAGTTGAAATATCTATTGTACAGTTTTAAACATTGGACAAATTTCTATTTAAAAAGTAAAGTAACATTGCATTTAAACCTCAAAAAAAAAAAGTCATCAGCCTATATACTTTCAATTGAAAAACTAAATTTTGGCCAATTAAGGTGGTTTAGTTTTTAATGAGAAAATAATCAGTAGAGATTTTTATCACAGAACTCAGTGCCATTATCAGTCCTACCTAACCCTGTTATAGATAATACTATGAAAACCAGTAGCCGGGAAGCATGCACCTGATCTGCAAACCTGAAATCTTGCCGAGGATGTACTTTCTGATTGCATTGTGATTATTCTTTCAAGTAGCGTCCTCCTACCCTCCCTCCACCCCACTTTTTTCCAAGTTCAGCAGAACCTGCTAATTTACATTAGCTGAATTGTCTATTGCCAATTATACAACTTTTTCGTTTAGTGAGCACATTCACTTTTCTAATATGAAAATAAAGATTATAGTATCAAAATGTAATTTCAGATATATTGAAAGACTTGCGGGGTTAAGGATCTATGATAATCTTTTCATTGGTTCACTTGCCACCTAGAGAATAAATGAATTCTATCATTTCTACTTCAGTGAAGCATGTTATAAAAGGGCACGTTAGATTTTCATTTTCTCGATACTGAAAACAAAGTGTAATTTGAGTTGTGCTAACAGAGACAGAGTTCAAATCAGGAAGCAGCAAGTCCAGTTTGAGCGGGTAAGCCACTTCGGGAGGGGTCCGAGCAGCACAGTGGAAGCAAGACATGAGCCATTACAGCAGGACGACTGATATGGTGAAGTCTAATCGACTGCATAAAAGAAGAGCTGAAGGAACTTGGAGAGGGCGACATAGAAGACTGAGGGATACAGAATCTGGGCTAATATTCCACTTATAAGTACTGGTGTTGCCATGCCAGTTATCACAATGCTGAGATGTGTCGACACCACTACGCTCACCCCCGTGCCACCCAGCCCCTCCCCGGGAAATCCCAAACCTCTAGGTACTCAGCTGCCAAGGGGCCTGGCCCAGTCTCCAGCATCCAGGCCCAGCTCTGACTGATCAGTGGCATGGTGTGCTGGCTGGTCAATATTTTGAGTGTCACCCCTGAAAGTAATCAGTCCATCTCACGATTTAGAAGGGATTTGAATCAGTGTGTTCAGAAAGTAAGGCACAAAAGAGGGAGGACAGTCCAGTGCTTTCAAGCAGAGTTCTTCTGACCCGGACAAGTGTGTACATGGAACGGTGATCGACACCTCAGCGCCTGTTAGATGGAAATATAAACACCAGCATGGTTTGTGTAATTGCAAATTAGCATACCATTAATACTGGGATTGGCTGCTATTACAAAAACCTCAAAGAGGTATATTTTTAAACAAACATACTTCCTAAAAGTTATACTTTTAAACAAACTGAGAATATTAAAATCTGACTTTTTTACCCCATTTTGCTTTTAAATAGCTACATATATGATTTCTGTAAATTCTTATGTTACCATGAGTATTAACTGTCCCAGTGGCTATTATAAAAACCAGAGGGTATGCACAGCTAATAGAAAGAACAACATCAGCTTTTCTATTCTCTCAGGAACAGTAAACTTCAATTAAAATTAGTACTATGCAGACTTAAAGAGTCATAGTCTATCATCAACCTTGTATATTTTAGGAAGATAAATGAGTTCCCCAGTATTTTGGGAATTTGAGCCTGTCCCTGAATTGTTTAAAGCTTTATAAGGACTCCAAACGTCCAAATAAAACTCATCACTTCAAACTCTGAAACTAAAACATAAAAAATAAAGCTTCAGAATTTTTTTTTTTACATTCCTACAAACTCCTTCATGTATTTATAGTTGAAGAAACTGAAGCAATTAAAAATAAAATCAACCTGGCCTGTGTGAGGTACAAGTGTTTACATCATTCTTTTGAGTATTCTTACAAAAGTGCACCCTTTAGTGGTGTGTTTACTCAGGAGACATGCAACAAAGACATGAGGACACTTCAGGTATTCTGAAGGGAACTCTGGGAGAGGAAAACAGCATGGTTTTTAAATGGGAATTTACCTCAAATAAATTACATAACTATCAGGGAAGACCAGAAAAATAATGTCACTCTCCTCGCATCATCTTCCTTAGAGGTTACGAGTGAACGTGAAGGTTCAAGCTTCACAACCACACCTTCTGTAACATTTCTCAGTATTGGTACTGAATTACTAGCTTGACTCTTGTCTCTGGAATTTCTTAATGCATTTGGGTTACTATATAAATTCCACTTAAGTTCCTCAAATAATTCAGCTGTTAACTTGGGGTGGTGCTTGGAGGGGGTATGTTCAGGAAGGGTTTTTGCTAATGTCGCTGTCACAGCCTTATCGGTTTATTGTTCACCAAGGATATTCTTACCTCCTACTTTATACATATCATCAATTACTTTTTCCAGAAGAAATGGATACTGTTGAGTGAAACTTTTTTTTAGATAAGATTGATGATAGTATATTTTCTTTTAGAACAGTCTGCTCTTAAATAAGAATTTTCAGTTTTTTGAGACAGGGCGAGTGATAGTGGAAGGATTTTTAAGTTTCCTTGTTTAATTTGTTGGTTCAATAAGAAAGAGAACGATGTTAATAAAATGAAAGGAAATTAAACGGCACTTTACCAATAATGTTGCTTGTGTTTTATCTTTCATTCTCTACAACTTGGTTAGGTAATTGGTATTATTACACTACTTGGCAAATAAGGGGATTTGGTCTTGTTGAACTTGTATAACCTGCCCAATGTCTGACAACCAATGAAGAGCAGCACCGAGCCCAGGACTTGTAAATCCACAATTCTCTGTGATAGTATGCTGTTCCCTGCCCCAAGAGTCCCTGGTAGACACTGATCATTGTATTGTCATGGTGTGACTATCTTTGAACGAGAAAAACAAGATTCTTTTCTCACTATATACTTAATGACACACCATATACTCATCTCAATCAGAGTCACTTCAGAGTGATATATCACACTTCTGTTTTATGAGCTGCTATAATGCTATTCTATTCCATAAGATCTCATTAACACCTTTACCCAAAAACTTTTGTTATTTCTGATATTAGAGTCTTTTTTTAAAAAAAGTCTAAGCTGTGAGACAAAGACTACCACCTTCCTGCATTTTCTGGACATGTAGGAACATCACTAACCAGGGAGGCTCCCCTTAGGCATGGCGTCAGAGTTTTTGGGGTTTCATTTCATAAGCATGGCTGCTGGCTCACTGGCCCCACCACTGAACTCTATCCCCAGCTCTGCTCGCCTCCCTGGAGGACAGCCTGATATTGCCTGGTTCGAAGCCCCCACTCTCTAATCACCTGGTTGGTCTTTCTGACATGGGCCAGCCCCATCCCGAGTCATCTCGCTAGCACAAACTCGGGTGTGGGATCAGGGCCCACCATGAAGACCAAAGACATTCTCATCACTTGGGAAATTGCAAGGACTAAGGGCTCACCTCCCAGGAACCAGGGGTGGTGAAGACCGGCTGTTATCATACAACAGCTGCCAACAGAGATGACTTGAAACTCTTAAACCAGATCTATCAAAAACAACATAATCATCACAGATTAGTTTTCACAGAATAGCAGGCAAATTTATATGATGAATTAAAGATCACCAAAACTTTGATTCCGGACCCACTAAATGTCCAGATTACTTGGCTCCTTCAGCACCTTCTACTTTCCCTATAATAACAGGATTTGACTCATAAGAGAATCGCTGTATAAAAGATAACTGAGGCAGGGATCGTTGTCTATCACGGGTCCACATGCTGCGGGACCCACGGAAATGTGACAAACTTTGTAGAGACTGGACAACATGCAAACAAAATGCCCTTAGCAGGTCTGGTGGTCTCAGAATGTGTTCCAGCCTCTAATAAATGTCGGTTCTATTTGTGCGGAGCGCTGAGTGTGGTTTGGAGCAAATGTTTGTCATTGAACTTGGGGAAACTGTGAGACAGACCAGTGGCTGTGCCGGGAGGACCTGAAAGCAGGCTCTTGCACGTCACTCATGAACGTCACTTGCCCTGTCGTCCCACCACCTCTGCCATGAAAATGCATCCACATGAGCACTGGCGGGCGGCTGCCAATCTTCACGAGGTCTACACGTCTCAATATCTATCACTTTAATTTTACCAAACAGTTAAGTAACAATGGATTTAAACAAGCGTATTTACAGTACACTTGAAAATCCTGGGGGAGCGAGGACCCAAATCAGCCTCCCTCCTTCTAACTGACACTTGCTTGGTCGCAGGAGCGCGGAATCCCCACGGACATGGGCTACGCTGTGGCCCCGCACCACTCGGGCGTGTACCCGGTCCACGGCCAGCTGTACGAGGCCTGGAAGAAGGTCTGGGGCATCCAGGTCACCAGCACCGAGGAGTACCCGCACCTGAAACCTGCGCGGCACCGGAGGGGCTTCATCCACAGAAACATCATGGTGAGCTCACACCCGGGCGCGGGGCACGGCCAGGCCTGCACATGCGCAGTCCTCGTTAGAAGGAAGGACCAAGGCCAAGAGCAAGTGTGCAGCCAAACTGGAGGGGAGGCTGCATGCTGCAGAGAGCACACTGGGCGGATCTAAGCAAATGATGCTTTAATGACAGTTGCTTCTTGTCAATTCGATTATAGCTCAAAACTGTTTTTAACTGACACTGATATTTTATAAAAATTACTAACCAATTGCATAATCTCTTAATTCTTACTTTTGGAGCTGGCAGGCTACAGACTCAGAAGTGAGGCGGGTACCACAGCCTGCTGCCATCCTGTCAGACAAGAGAAGATGCTATGATTTGTGTCTCGAATTTCGCTCTAATTGAAAATGCCATTTTCTAAGAATCACATTAAGCTAATAATTGACTTCATTTTCTATTGTACGTGTAGAAGCTGGCAGATAGGGTTATCCTACTAGAATTACAATATAGAGCAGAGAACTCCAATATTTTTAAAGTTTCATTTCTCTCCTTTTCATTTTATTTCTTAAGATGCTGAAACATATTAGGCTTTATAATAGAAGTACTGACTTGGAGATTTAAAATAGATAAGTGGCTAAAATAATTCAAAGTCTATCTGAGTTTTAAAGTATTTCTTCCGCTTTCTTCGGTATTCCTGCTATAATGATGTCACCCTCACTTTCCCAGGTTGTGACGGATTTTCTGGGCCTTAGTTAAAAACTGAATAATGACACCAGCTTGTGCACCATCTTCCATGAGAATAAAAGCTAAGTTTCAACAAATTAATTGGTTGAAGGGACTTTTTCCTCACTTGCTCATTCTTGCTCAGGTTCTCCCAAGACAAACCTGTGGGCTTTTCACTCACACAATTTTCTACAAAGAGTACCCCGGAGGCCCAAAGGAGCTGGACAAGAGCATCCAGGGAGGAGAACTTTTCTTCACTGTGGTCCTCAACCCGGTGAGTGCCTTGAGTTATTCTCCAAGGAAACAATGGCAAGCAAAAGGGCAGAGGAAAACTGACCTGACAAAGAGGCCAGGGTTGGGTAGTTACTAGCCCTGTCAGTATGAAGTTCCAGGTCTAAACCAGTGATAAAAATGAAATGGAACCACAGGTGGCGATGGGGCAAACTAGTTATCCAAGTAGTAATGGCAGGAAGAGCTACCAAGTGTCCAGCATGGGGAAGTGACCACAATTCAGAGGTTCCTGCTTTTCTGGAGAATAAGATTTTCACCTATAAAACTCCATTCCCACTAGGGACTGTTTTTTTTTGTTGTTGTTGTTTTTTCATTTAGGAGCCCAATACCCTCATTACGCTTTTTTTCTTTTTAAAGTAACGGTATAAGCGAAATGGGAGAGAAGTTAGATAAGCAAATGCGGTCCTTTTGGCATGTTCATCTAGGTATTTTCTTTCTGGGTCTCAGGCTGGGGTAGAACAGTCTGCACAAAGGACCGTGGTTCCTCCTTCCCATCTGAGTGCTGAGTGCCACCTCCATAAGGAACCTTTGCACACACTTCTGCTCGACGCAATTATTATAAAGCTGTGTACAGGAAGATGAACTAAGTGAAGTAGAGCATATTAATGAGGGAAACAAGGGGTTTTATTTCCCATCTGAGAATCACTAACATAAAAAATAAAGCTACGGCTATTTTTCAGGAGATATATGGATTTGCCCCTGGTATTAGCAATATTCAAGATAGAAAAAAAAAAGTAATTTTCCAAATGTGAAAAAAATTCTATTGGCATAAAAGTTGGATAAGATAGGAATAAGGGGAATACAATTTGAAAGGCCTTCCCTTGACCTAATGTTACAGGTCTTGCAAATAAAATTGCAGGCATTTGTCATAATCTCCTTGTATTTACTAACTGTATCTACTTCTCAGCTCCTGGTAAATCAGACAGAAGTATGGGTAACTCATCTCTGTGCAAAATTAGCATGTGTATCCAAAAATCCAGATAGTTTGGGGTCGTGTGGCATTTGGCCTCTGAAAGCTTACCAACCTTCACAGCATAAAAATATCAATAAATAATTCTGATTTGTACATCAGAAATCATTTGATTCTTCTAACTTATATATTCTTTACAAATGAAAGTATCTTTGGAATCATCTCATATGTCTTTCTCCTCTTTTTTCTTAATTCGGCCCATAATAGGCAGGCATAAGAGTTAAACCAATGCCTCACTAGGAACTGAAGATCCAGCGCTAACATGCTATTCTTAATACACTAACAGTTTCACCAACAATGTGAAGGCCTTTTAGTCTAGAATCTATGAAACACTGATGTTTTACATTTCCTGTCATTATAGCAGTAGGACTATGAACACACAATCACCTTCTTGATTCCTTCAACCAGCAGTTGCCTAAACTAAATCACAGCAAAGAGAACCAGGTTCCTTAAACAGCATGACCCTCTCTCCTGAATGTTCTACTGTCACCAAAGTATTTCTCATTGTTAAAGAAAAAAGTGTCAACCTCTTAAGTTTAGTACAAATGAAGAGTTGCAGAGACAAGTGTCAGCGCTATGCAGGAGAGAAGCCGTGGCCTTCTCCAGTGAGTGTTACAATGCGTCCCGGGCCTGCCCAGCTCTGGTGGACAGAGAGAGTTTGATTAATAACCTGGAGGTTTTGGGGGTGACCGGAAGGTAGGGCCATCAGGCGCTCTGAGCCTGGGACCCTTAAGAATGCAATTCTTCTAATCCTTCTTCTGATCCTAAACCCCACAAGCAGCTTCCTGATTATAGTCTGCTTTCCTATCGAGAGCCTACTGTAGAAAAGAATTGTTGATTGACTGTAAGAACTTGTACTTGCTGGGACGGTGATCTGCAGTGCCGTTTTACAAATCTTCTTTCAACTGGTGACTGTTATATTTCCCATGTAACCTGCCTACCAGGAGAGGACCCTCTCACTGCACAGGTTCTAATATTGCACGTCCTCTGTAATTTACAATTCCCCATTTTAAACTGCTAGATGATATTCTGTCTTTACATCTCAGTTTGATGGTCTTGGCTGATTAGACTCTGCCCTTGAGAAACAGATGTTCCCTGTCAGCGTGCTGAATTGGCTTTTGGAGCCTGTCAGGCTGAGTAACAGACCCTGGAGTGTCTGTTGATTGATTCAGGCAGCTAATGAGAGTTACCTTATGCATATACCAGGAGAGAGAGCCACTGGAATGATCCCACAGTCACTATTAGCTGCAGGCACACAGCACAAGATTTCTGTGCAAACAGGTAATACAACCAGAGAGAAATATTCTTAATCAATTCACAGGGCAGTAAGTACCCTCATATATGCTTCACCAAACAGTGAGAAAGAGTTTATGTGCTTTATGCACCTATATAAAATGGCATGTAGAGTGGTGCTAAGAACTGAAACTCACGAAGGTGACAAAAAAGACTCATGGGTGATGACTGCATCTGCCCTCAATAAACAGAAACCTGTAAATTGATGATATGTATGCTTATACAAAAGGAACTGGCAAGAGTGTGCTGTCCATTTTAACGTGAGTTTCCATCTGTCTTAGGAAGACGTGAGAATACTTAATTAGCATGACGGATGCATAGTGCTGGATGAGACATGATCGTTCCTCTTGTGGAGACCATGTTATCTCCTAAGCTCTGAGGCAAGATGCTGACTTCCCGCACCAGTGTTCTGGTTTCTAATTCCAGAACGCCCGGAGTCTCAGCTTAGCCATGTTCAGTAAGCAGGCTGCAGGCACTGGGTCATTACCAGCTGGCATCTGTGGAGGGCGCTGCCTCAGTCCAGCATGCTTGATAACAAAGTCAGTCCTCGCTTTACTTACTAATCCAAAAGACTCGGGAATCGCATGGGAGCCCCGCTCTCACCACCTGTGCTTGGATTCAGGCGGAGCGAATCTCCGACAGCACAGCAAAATCACGCTCCCCTCATCAAAGTGTTAAACGCCCCACACACACAGTAGATAATCCCTTCACGCCTGTGGTTCACGTCGCTACGCTTCTTCACTTCATGCAGCGTCCGCCCACATGGTCTCCACACCCTCCCACCCAATTCCCGGAAAGCTAAGTCTAGATTTTATTTCTCTCGTTAAAGAAAACTCATAAACATGATGTGAATAGAATGAGCTTCTTAGGCTGGGAGTACCACATGAGTGGATTTACAAGGAAAGTAAAACAAAATTCACACAAGAAGGCAGACTGTATAGAAAACAACGCACACTGAATTCATTTGTAAATTATAATTTATGTGTGTGTGCTTATCTATGGAATTCTTCTAAAAGCAAATAACTTTTTCCTAATGGGAAATGCTATGTTTTTTGTTTCTTATTTGCTAATGCTGGAAAACACCATAACAGAAAATCCTTTACTGAAAAATAAATAAATGATAATAACACCACCACCACCTTTGGAAAGTAGAAAAAGGATTCTTGAATGAGGCTATTAATGAGTAGCACCAGGGACACCTGATGAAAACAATGCAGGTGAATGTATCAGAATCTCCAGGGGACAGTTTTGGGGACCTGCACACTTATCAAGAGCTTTAGGTGATTCTTAGGGTCAGTCATATTTGGGAAATACTATAGAGCATAAAAAAGTGCAGAAATAATTTTGGTAATCAAAGATTACCGAAAACTGCTAAAGAAATTGTGGACCTATGATCAAGTTGTTGGAATGGAAAATGAGTCCAAATCTGCAGTAAGTTTTAAAAACAATGGGGGTATATGTCTTTCTTAGTGAGCAGAGGACTCTAGCTTGGAGTCTCAAATAGAGGCAACTCCTGTTTATCCTTTCAGACTGCGCTGAGAGGCGCGTCCTCAGCAAGCCTTCTCTGCCCCAATGTGGAGGCACTCCTGCTCCCACAGCATCCCCTGCAGACTCCCGTCAGGGACTAATCACCTTCCTTGTGTTGTGGGTTTGCTAGTAGCTATTAACTTGCTGTTTGCTTCTTGGGGTGAAGAATGTGTTTTTCATCTCCGAAACCATCCCAGTGTGTAAACATGATGGCTTGTACCTTGTTTTTATTTAACATAGATGAACTGACTTTTCTAATGTCTGGTACAAAAAGCAATGGATCTGAAAGGGAAGAAAAGGAATTCTGGGTCCAGGTAAGATAGTTCTCAAATCAAAAGCATAAGTAAAACCTGTTTCATGAGTTGGACGCGGCCAAACTGCATATTGTTCCATACAGCTCTGCACGTGCTGTGTTGGTGGACTTCCTCTGGTTATAAGCGCTAGAGACTCATTCAAGTTGCCTCAAGTAATGGGGTAGGTGTGGGACCCCAGAAAGCTGGGCCACCAGGCACAGGACCTGCAGGGCTTTCTGATTCATGGCAGCTGTAGGGCCCATGAAAATGAGCACTCCTCACCTTGGCCTTGCTTTAGTGCTCTTATATGAACATGAGAGATGCCTTTACGTGTCTGAGCGGCTCTTTTTTCTACTACTGACTATACTCGTTCCTTCTGTGCCTCCGAAGTGCTGCTTGCTGATGGTTTCTGTACCCTCAGTAGTTAATCTTACACACGGCCCAATGTGACTGCATTAAACATTTTCCATGTAAGAGTTAGCCTCAGCTCTCACTGGCTGACGGCCTCGTCCTCTTGTGGTCATCCCCTGGCACGAGAAGCGGTTTGGCCCAGCTCACGGGTCTGAGTCAGCCAGTATCAGTCTGGCCAACTGCAGACTGCTGCCCTCGGTTCATGCCCCCCCACCCCGACCGCCCCCAGCCCACCTGTTCTCAGCTGTGGCTGACTGGTCAGTGGCCGCCAAGGGCTCTCCTTGCAGAAAGGCTTGGAAGGGCAGGCACTGTGGCTGCCATCTAGCGTGCATCTGGGGCCTATGGGAAGTCAGCACGTGTCCAGCCAATCCCAGAGGTTGGGGAGTAAGCTGCACCTCTTTGAAGAGCGCCAAAAGGCTAATTTTCAACCTTGTGAAGTATTAAGTAGCTCTCTGAGGCAGGACCGATTAGCTTTATCATTTTATTATG